GTTACTTGATAAATTATTACAAAATTTTAAAAATAAAAAATAAAAATAAAATGCATGTTCACAATAAAAGCTTACAACTTTAATACAAATATAACAAACCAACACTAATTATCTAGTATATTTAAAACAAAATTACAAATACTTATATTAATACCATTAATTAAACCTGTAAGAGTAAGATGAAAAATGAATAAGAGGAGGGAGAGAGGTAGGTGGCGGCTTGTGTAGGAAATGAGAAATGATGTATGAGCTTAGGGGGGTTTTTTTTTTTAGACTTACTTAATTATATAATTTTGATATAGTCTTTCATATTTGGGCTTAAATGATAGATTCTGATTTCATGTACCCTAGAGGGAACCTGTATAAACAGGATACCCTACAGGTTTCGGGTCCAAAATTTTATTACCTGGAATCGGAACTTGATCTATAGGCTCCGGTTCTGGAACTTGTGGTTCCAAGTAGGTTCTGGTTCCAGGTACCCTGAATTTTTACTCACCCCTAGATAGGAAAGAGAAATAATAAAAAAAAAAAGTAGTATAAGTGGGGTTGATAGGAAAGATAAATAATATAATATTTGTGTAAGTGGGGTTAGTGGGAGAGAGAAAATATAAAATAATGATGGGCCCTTTCATAGAAGTGTTGCAATTAATATGAAGCGGATGTAAAAAATATATTGCGACTAATACGAACGGAGAGAGAATCATACTCGGGTGATACATATGAATACGAAACTTATATCATGCAAAACTTCTACAAATATCATTTGTAAGATTTGGTAAGGCAAGTGAGATACAACGAAAAAAATGGAATAAACGAAATCAATATCTACGTCATCATGTACAACATTATTAATTTTAAAACTTTATATCACGTTAGCCGTATCATGAAAAACAGAGTAGATTATATTGTTACAATTTACATCTCAAAGTAATCGAGATATTTCCTTTTGATTATAAATCCACACTATATTCTATACTTCTTATGGGGCGTTTGGTTGAAGGGATAGAGATAAGAGGGAAAAAGGGAGAATAGGGATAGAGATTTAGTAATGGGAATTTTATAAAATTTATCCTTGTCCCTTGTTTGTCATGGGAGTGAGACTATATTATCATTTTCTTGTCTCATGTTTGGTATGTTAGACTAAATAATGGGGATAAATAATGTTATTACATTTAATCCCTTTTGCATTTATACTACCTATATTAGATAAGGGCTTGATTAAAGAACATACAGACTTTCCTTCATTTGTAATGAAATAAAATAAAATAAAACAAAATTCTAGCATAATATTTTTTTTTTTTTTTTAGTTTAAAAAATCATGTACTACTTGTTGAAACCTGATACATAAAGACTAGCTAACCTTGATTTTTACACAATGGTATAGAAGGTTACAGGCATAATGTTCCAAAAGATCATCAGCAAAAGTATAAGAGATCATCAAGTTAACAATTGATAAAAGCAACATATATAACGACAAGGCTTTAAAGTTGAATTAAGTCCTAATCGAAAAACAAAAGGAAGCCAAACCATTTTACGAGTATCGTAATAGTTCTTCTTCAAAAGACAAATCACGATATTATCACCACCTAATTTTCTCCATCGATCTCTTGTAAATCAAATATCACTTTGAAGTCATGGGGCATAGTAAATAATATGTCCATTTTGGCGGCATCTTGACCAATTAGACGAGTAGCCTTTACAACTTTTCGGTGTGAGATTAGGGAGAGCACACTAGGATAGTTGTTTTCTATTATCTGTGGTTTTCTCATGAAAATCAACTACATGCACAAATGCCCTTTTAATATCATTCATTGCTAATGCGTTGTCTTTTCTCTTCTCATTTCCCCCCACCGGACGTCGCTGCCCCCCTCGCCACGTTGTTCCCCACTGCTTCCTGCTATGCCTTCTACGCCGTTTTCAATATTAAGGTTTTTAAGGTCATTTTCAACCAAGAAATTAAATTCTAAATCTAGAGTTTTCTTAGTCGAATTTGACCTTATTAACTAAGTTTGAGGTGAAGTTTGAACCAATTTAAAATTTCGAGGTGTGTTTCAGTGTTTTTAATTTTCTTTATTTTTTTTTGTATTTAAGTTGTTTTTTAAAAAAAAAAAATTGGATTGTGGTGGTGGTCCGTTCATTGTTTTATGGTTGTGGTGGATGGATCTGGATGGTTTTAGGGTTAGGTGGTCTGGGTCGGTTTTAAGGTTAGGTGGTCCGTTCGTTGTTTTAGGGTTGTGGTGGGTGGGTTTAGGTCGGTCTTAGGGTAAGGTGGGTGGGTTGTGGTCTGGGTTAGTTTTAAGGTTAGGTGGGTGGGTCGGTGTTCAAGGTTGTGGTGGATGGTTTTAGATTAGGTGGGTGGGTCAGTTAGGGTTAATGGGTCAGTTAGGGTTAGGATTAGGGTTAGAAGTGGGTGGTGGGTCAATGACCGTTAGGATGCTGGTGGTGGTTGTTGGGAATACCTTGAGGTTTTTTTTTTTTTTTTGGTAGTGGTGATGGCGGCTGGTGGCGGTATTGGTGGTGGAACATCTTTTTTTTTTTTTTTTGGCAGGATTTTCTGGCAGAAATTCCGCCGAAATACAGTCAGTCGAAAATTTTCGACGGACTTTCAAGGCAAGAGAATCTCATCCGACGCCCCAAAATCCATCGGAAAAGGTCGTATTTCCTACAAATACATTTTTCGATGACCATTTCCGACGGAAACACGTTTTTTCGACAGAAAACAGGGTGTTTTTGACGGAATTTTTCCGTCGAAAATGGCCTATTTTCTAGTAGTGTCTTTCGATCACATTTCTTGCAGAAGCAGGCCTCATGTTGAATAATTCCTCTTTTTTTTTGGGTTGCCTGGTTTAGTCCATTCTTGTAAATGGTATTGTTTGACCTCTATAGGCGAGAGTGTGAGACATTGATAATTAGAAATAAAGTTGATTATCGAGGTCATATATCATGCATCACCAATTTCACTAGCAGATGATTGGTAAGTATTTGTGATTAAGCTTGTATCAATGGCAGTCTAAACCAGAATTTGTCCACCTAAGTTGTTTGCAACGAGAGTGCATTGAGAATTTTCTGCATTGATGGTAAAACTGTCGGGGTTTCCAGAATAGGATTTCATCACTGATTGCAATCTACTCAATCACGATTGCAAAAGGTACAACGTTGGTTTGCACCTATTGGGCAGCAGTTGCTAGGTCAGAGGCTATAACTTGAAGGTCTCCATTAGCGACACCGAGAATGGTTTTGATACCGAAGCTAGCCTTGTAGGGCTGCTATATTGGGATTAAAGAGCCTCATGGTTCCTATTTCGTTGGACCTGTAAAGGTTAATGACATCTTGCTCGGAAGGTAAGTTGTTGTCTGCAACGTTTCTATAGCATACTCCAACTTGTCCTATTGCATATGTTCAATCATAATGTAAGGTTAAAAATTATGCTAATACATGTTTTTAAATTTCATAGCATACTCCAACAAATGCAAAATTTCATTCCAAATTAATACATGTTTTAATTTTAAATTGTACGAAATATTATTTTTGTACATATATTGTACATGTATCGTAATATTCAACTATTGGCCCATATAAGTTTGTGTAAATTAGATTTTTAGATCAAACTTGCAAATTTTTCCCTCATGTTAATTTTTTCTCATATATTTATACTATTTGTGAATTTTATTATGGTAATAACAAGAGAACAATAGGAATATCATGAAATATTATTTAGGCAATTTGTAAATACTAGCAATATTTTACCTTTGTATATAAAGGCAATGAACATATATTTACGAGCTTGCCCAGGTTCTCTGAGAGAAAAACATGGGTTGTTTATCTCAAGGTAAATTCGTCTTTTCGCGTGTAAAAGTAAGGGTATTTATGTCAACATTTCTTGGACGGATTTCTGCTGTTATATGGACGTTAAGTGGACATAACTAACCATGGTTAGTTGCTGCGACTGTGAGCCTCTCACGGTCTCACCTACCTAAACCCAAGAGCATCGACACGTAAGCCTCTTTTTTCTTCAATTTGACTGTTCTTCAATTCAGCTTTTACAATTTGAAAAAAAATTATTAAAAAAATAAAAAAAATCACCATCATCTTCCTCCTCACTCCACCATGACCCATCTCCATGATTAATCCATGGTTTCCTTTCCTCCTTCCTTCACATTCCCGACCCTGCCAGCACCTTCATCTTCTTCAAAAAATATGGAAATGTTACCGTGGGTTAAAGGCCTTCGTTTTGGCGTTAACGTTGGGGAAACGGCTTTATCACCGTTACATTGCTCTCACATGTTAGCTGACAGAGCTGGGGCCCAGAACTCGTGTTTCATTGGATGTTTGCAAAAACTAGTGCAATTTAATTACAGAAATGTCGAGAAAAACAATGCTTGTTTATCACCGAGATTGACTTAGATTTTCTCTATATTTACCTTAATATTACACATAAAATCAATAATTTTTGAACGTTAATAAAACTGTCATCAACATGCATTTTCTTTCTTTATATAAAGATTTTCACATAGAATGTATTTTTTACGAAAATTTTACTCCGTGTCATATTATAGCAAGTATGGAGACTATGGAGTACTAAGTATATTATATTGTCTAAATACAATGTGCTTTAAAAAGTTAGGAACTACATTTCTTCCTGTAATGTTGTCTAAATACAGTGTATCTAAATACGATATATTTTTCCTGTCAATAATAAAAAATGAATTATAAAATATATTTTCTTTACACATTAATTCAAACTTAAAACCACTATAAGGTATTTACCTTAATATTAATCTAAACTTAAAACCACTAGAAGTTTTTTTTTTTTTTTTTTTTTTTTTTTTTGACAAGTAAAACCACTAGAAGTTATCATGGATAATTTTGATAATTTTTAATTTGTTTACTTTTTGTGAAGTATTTTTAAGGTTTTATATAGAATATCAAATAAATGATAGATACTATTTCTATCTTTATGTTAAAGGGGTATAATTTTGCCTAGAGTAGTTATTATAGCAAATTGTAATAATTGTCCAATAAAGGGATTGTTTAATACAAGCATACACGACATAAAGGGACGGTGTGACCTAAACTAATAATTCATCAACATGCATATACATTCAAGTAAATTCCAACATGTAAAATCACAGCTGAATTCCAACATACATACTCTAATATAGTGTTTGAGGTATTCCATATTAAGTTTAATTTGTATAGTCTATAACACATGTAGTCAAATCAACTTTTTACATGTGTGCACGATTCACCAATCCATACATATATTGTGTGTCCGATCCATGTGTATGTGGTTTGTTTTGTGTACGAATATAATGATATTCAACCATAAGCTTATGCTTTTAATTGGACTACTGATCTAGTTCATCTACAAGGCAAAAGACCCACATTGAAAGTTGTTTCCTTCACACCATGCAACTTGATCCATGGCATAACCCATTTCACCACCATACACTCCGGCGGCCGGTAAAATCGTAGTCGAGGCAGGGTAGTCCTCAAAGCCATAGTTAATACTTAACATGTTGAACAACGAAGCATCCAAGTCGTAATCATTGGCACCACCAATTATCTCTTGAGTTGGAATCACTTGGGTTGTTTGCATTGGTTGTACAAAGTTCTCCAAGCTTGTTGAAGTGTTCCAAATCGAATTTTCATCCAAGGTATAACCACATAAATTAACATCATTAGAAATGGAATCAGATTTGTTCATAGCTAAGAATTCATTGCTCCAAAAATCCGAAGTTGGTGCAATATTATGCAATTGTGTATAACTAGCAGAGTTGTTGCACTCAAAGTTGATAGTGTTATTTTGTAACTCTGTATCATTATCTGTTTTTGGAAAGCAAGTTTGGGGGTCATGATCATCTGAGAAGACTAACGAGCTCGAATTCGATGGAAACCGATGATGATTAGCAGATTTAGAAGCATTAGTCTTAGATTTTGACTTCTTTTGAAGGAGATTATGAGTGTTGGGATCAAAGCCTTGAGCAAGAAGTTTTTTCTTGATGCAAGAATTCCAGAAATTCTTTACCTCATTGTCTGTTCTTCCTGGAAGATGTTTGGCAATTTGGGCCCACCTATTGCCTAGAATTCTATGTACTTCAATTATTGTTCTTTCTTCTTCTTCTGTGAATGAACCCCTCTTTAGATCTGGCCTTAAGTAGTTTATCCACCTTAATCTGCAGCTTTTTCCACACCTTTGAAGTCCTGCAATGATCAATTTTAAGTGGTGAAAGTAAAGGTTTTAACATAATCAACTTTTTGAATGGTATAGGGGTGACTTATTGCGCGATTAAATTTTGTTAGTTAAGGTCATGATTTCCCCCTAAATAATATTAGTTATGACGACGTGACAATAATTTTCAGACAGTGAAGATACGTACTGTAGTAGTTATACGTATGTATAGTGTGTAAAATATATATATATACTCAAGGTTCAATCTTTAAAATCAATAAATCAAAAGAAAGTAAAATCACTTTAGAAGTAAGATGCAAGTGTGACAAACATTATTTAAATAAAACCAATTGAGTTTGCAATAATAATCTTGCTTCAAGGAGGGCAGGAGCGAACAAGTAAGTCTATTTGTCTAACTATTCAGGAAACTAATAAGGGGCGAAATGTCCTATATACCCTTAATGAGAAAACAGGAGTTTGAGACTCAAAATAAGGACTCGACCAAGACAACCAAGGACAGAAAATCGTACCCACATATAAGGACTCGACCAAGACAGCCAAGGACAGAAAACGTACCCACATGCGGACGTTCATACGTACCTGCTAATTTGGGGACAGAGCTCCAAGAGCCATGACCATGATTAATAATATGAGTGGCAAGTCTATCATCTTCTTCCGGAGACCATAACCCTCTCTTAACCTTTTGTTTGCTACAGCAGTGATGACCCATTTTCGACCCGTTTCTCGTACCACAAAACACATGCAAAGGAGAGTGATGTGATCACAAGCAGCTCAACTTTCAGCTTTGTCCCTTATATGTACTTGGCAGTCTCTTCTAATCATTTGGGAATCTACTTAACTATATAGTATTAATAACATGGTTGTTATATTCTTATTAAATTATCATACTTAAATCATACTCTAATATAAAAGTTAGCAATAATATTATATTATCCATTGCATGAAAATGATTGATAATGGATGAAGTGTATTGTAGAAAGAACTAATGGAATGTACGTAAACTTGCTAAGAAGAGATTATAGGAGGAGAGTATGAGCTGGAAATATTAAACTTAGGGTGCACTCATTGCAAGACTATGTATACATGTAAGATGTAGCTTGCTAAAAAGCTTGTTCTTTTTTGGTTGCTTCTAGATTAAGCTTATTTTTTACCAAAACCCTAAACACTAAAATCATCTTTGACAAGATCTTGCTCTTAATTTTGTGAAACATATCCAACTAAACCGACACAATTAAACTAGAAACTTGGTGCGGACAAGAATTAATAAAGGTGACAAAGCAAGAGTAGTGCAAAATAATTTCGTCAATGACAACAATTTTTACTATTACTTTCGTTTCAAAATTATCTATTTATGAAGCTGCGAATACAAGTTATTTTTACTCCGTATTAAGTTTCAATGAACATTATCATTACACTATTGCTTGTTGGTTGGATATATGAACATAATATTTTGGACAATTTTAGGGGTAAATTTCTTTCAAGTATTTGGGTCTAAAATGCTGACACAAAATACAAGTATTTTTCTTTGTACTTGGCAAAATAAGTTAAATAACATTCAAAGTCCAAAATGCAATACAAATTGACTAAGTCAAGATGTTAATAGCCTCCCAAAATGATGTATAACCGTCAAACACCCTTCCTTTTGGAGAAAATATGTGCTCTTAGCTTAATTGTTACACTTAGTCTTACTTGTCTAATTCAATAAGCAGACAAACATTTGCTTACTATTCCAAGTAGGCTTAAAAAGCTTAGTACTAGTATTACAAAATTTAAAGATGGAAGAATGAGAAAACCAAAGAGGTACTAGAAACTACACGTCTCCTTCACTCCATATTTCCGGATAACCTATACTGATTTTGACATCTGAGGGCTACTATCACTTTGTGGCTCGTTTGTACTTTGTGTTGGTCGACGACCTTTGTCAGGACCACCGATGACACCCCAAACCTCAAATTGTCTTTGCCGAGCTCGTGCTCTCTCTTTTTCTTCCTCTGATTTTGTCGAGAAACAGTAAGGACAAGATACACCATACTCGTATTTAGGGGAATCCATATCAGCATCGCTGACAGGTTGCTTGCAGCCATAACAGAGTTTGAAAGTGCCCTGGGCCAAACCATGATCCACTGAGACCCGCTTGTCAAAGACAAAGCATTCTCCCTCCCATAGACTCTCAGATTGTGGAACTTCCTCTAAATACTTTAGTATCCCCCCTCTCAAATGATAAACCTGGCAAATCGTTAAATGTCTTAATGACCAAGTCAAAGAAACCTTGAGGAAGCAAGAATGGCATTGATAAAATCGGCATTAACAGCTATGAAGTGATAGCTTGTTCAAAAATTTTGCAAAACCACCTATGTGAAGCTACGAAGATTTTTTTTTTCCCTTTAGTCTATTCCTGGGAGTAAACGCATGCATCTTGAAAACTCTACAATACTCATTTGGTTCATTAATGCATTGCACAAGAAAAGAGCTCCACTGATGACACCCAAGCGACATCTGTTTTGCTCATCAGAAACTTCACCATTATCCCAATGATCTAAATGCACTCCCATTATCTATATATTAGGCCATATTTCTAATCTAGACCATCACCTTTTAAATTAAGCAAATTACACTTTATATTTCTCATATTACCCTTGATGATATCCTAAACTAAGAATTCCAAAGAAATTCTATATTGATAAAACTTTTAAAAATTCAATCAGTAAGAAATATTTATGGTATTATAACCCAATTTCCTAAACATGACTCCAAAAGGATAAAAGGATGTGTTTCGTAAGACAGTAGGGGATCAAGATCTTTAACACACAAAATAAGACATGCAAAGCTTAAGCAAGAGGAAAAGTTCATTTAAGTTTATTTTGATCTACAATATTTATATAATCAGAAAAAGTGAGCAATTTGCAAAAAAGTATTTACCTCTTTGAAACCTTTACTTAAGAGATAGCTAGAAGCTTTCTCACATCGTATCCCACCAGTGCAGTACATGGCAACACGAGGTGGAGACTTGCACCCTTCAGTATCCTCTTGGCTTTTACTTATCTTGTTTTCTGGCACCTCTTGGGATGGAAGACTGTCTGTACCAGCCAGTTGAAAATTATCTTCCACCCAAGTAGGAAATTCTCTGAAGGCTGTTGTACAAGGATCAACTGCTCCTTTAAATTTTCCAATTCTGGTTTCATAGGAGTTGCGCACATCGATGACCACCTAAGATTAAATGAAAGATAAGTTCACAATGCATGTCTGTAACTGTACTTCAAGCAAAACTAAACTATTTCGCTATTTGAACCACAAGGAGGTTGTCCATATGCTTTCTTTTACCACAAGGAGGTTGTCCATATGGTTTCTTCAAAATATCTAGCTATAAACAGGGCTAGAGAGCTTTGACAGAGTCTAAGGAGGCGATTAAGAAATCCAACAATGTTATCATTTCTCTAACCAAAATCTATAAGTGCCAAGGCCTATTAGGGCTCAGACAGTAATATATTTAACTGGATCGTCCATCGTTTCTGCTGATTTAAGTATGGATTAAAATTTAATTTCCATGTACAAGGAAATTTCAAAGTGATGTTTATACATTAATCCTTATGAAGAAAAGACACAAACCCTCAGGGTTGTTTAATTAGTTTAATCTGAATATAAAACTTAACTAATGAAAAAAAAAATTGATCTCAGAATCTCTAAAGAAGTAAAACTATGTGATAAACCAAAAGATTGCAATATATTCTAATCACAAAGTTTTAAGCAGATCAAGAGGATGAAGTTTGCTTTCTGAATTTAGTTTTAATTTCATTGGATTTCGACACTGAAGCAGCTATTTTAGGATCCCTGGCGAAAATTAGAGTTTCTATGAACTTTAAAAAGTATGTGATATTCAAAATCCTGATCATAAAATTTGAGTTGATGCAGAGGATGGTAGTTAATTTCTGAACATGGAATAACTAAAATGGATAATATCAATCCCTTAAAACTAAAATGGATAATATCAATCCCTTATATGGTAAAGACAAAATCTAAAGCACATCATCCATATGCTTGACAAACAAAAGTTACTGAAATATCTTTCTTACCGTGTTTGGGTCGCTGATCAATTCATTCCACTCTTTAGGGCTAATGTAGGTTCCAACCTTCTCTGTAGGAGAAACACTAGGCATTCCAAGGGAGACTATCTGCTAATACATGCAAATAGATCACAGATGTAAAAAACAAAGCATAGTAATACCAGAGTAGTAACAACTAACAACTACTTAAGAAACAATTCACTGAATATGCATTTAGAAGATAACCTCTTTCTTTAGCTTGACCCTAACATGATCCCATCGGAAGGGTGCGTCTTCTCCAGCTCCAACAGGAGATTTGCTTGTATGTCCATGGTGTATTGCTTCATCTTCTGGAGTCACAGGAGACTCAATCTGCCTTAGGCCCTTCAGACGTTCATCAGATTGAATAAATTCAAGAACACGTTCTACAGCTTCACGGGTACCGCATATGCTCCCATTTATTCCTTCTGGTGCAAGAATGATACCACCTGAAACACGCTGAACAATATCAGACAGGTAAGGGCATGAATAGTCAGAATTTATGTTCTTAGGACATTAGACTAAAATGAAATAAAGCAGTGAAAAAGGCACTTGGACATCCACCAATAATGCAACACAAAGCAACTTGATAATCACAAGATTTTAATACTACCTCCGTTAAGTATTAATTGCAACTTTGGGATATTATTTGTGAGATATAAAACATTCCAAAGTTGCAACTAATAATTAACGGAGGTAGTATGATATAAGTTGGATTGGCCCACAAGATTTATATGAGCAATGCAGCCAACTAGCCCTGACACTTGGATGAAAATTAAGGTCTTTTGGCAGCTATTTCGAGAATAAGAACATCAGAAACTGAAATAGTAACAACAACTAGATTGTAGTTGGTTAGCACAAGCAAGCCTTATAAAGAAGTCGAATTATACATATAAAGCTAACGTCAAATATAAGACTTAGTAGTGAATTTTACAAGGATTATCATCACCTGAGAGGCTGAGACCTCCTGATTTGAATTTCTTTTTCCTTTATTTTCTTTTGGAAAAAGGTTGGGGTGTGATCAACATGCCACTATGGCTCCCCAAATCTAGAGCAAATAAACTATGAATTAGGACGTGTTACACCCAAGTGATGAGACCGTCAAATTTTACATGCATTTGCTATGCCACCATGGTTCATACCAAAATGTTCAAAGTGTTCTTACTCGATTGCATAGAAAGCCTATTTAAAAGTAGAAAGAAAAAACAAATTATAGTTTCACCATGTTCTCTCTTGTATCTTCTCTCAATAATATGCATTTACACCAAGTGTTCTAAATAAATAAAACTACTGTTCTTCACGATTCAGGAACAAAACTCACTTATGCTGGCCAGATTTATGGAAATTGCATTTGCTAAAAAATATCTAGTCAATCCTCAAATGAGACCAAAACTTTCTGGATCAATTTACCACCCATTATCTTGTTCTACATCATAGCATAAAAAACCAAATGTATCACTATGCTAGCCATTGCTTCTTATATATGTAATATATTGGTCACTTAGTCTAACAACTCCAATTAAGGGTTCAATATACAAAGTATAAAATAACCTTTCTACCCTGTAGGGTTTTGAAGTCTGCATACATCTTTAAGTTTTCATATTCCAATACAAAAGCCCTTAATTGACAAACCATTGTAGTCTCTTTGTCCCTAATCTTAAAAACTAACACATCACTATAACTATCAAGTATCAATATTAAATATTAAAACATAGCATTCACATGGT